CGGATGGAAGTGACCTAACGGCCCTCTCTATCAAACCAACTCGCTTCTCAATCTTACCAATCTCAACGTTGGCCTGATCCTCACAGCGTTGCTCCTGAACTTGGCAGTACGCTTGTCCTCAACAACTTGATGAAGCTGATTCAAGCCACTCTCGATGTCTGTAACGGAACTCTGGACCTCAGTAGAAAGTGAGTTGATCCTCTCATCCATTATAGCAGTCTGCTCATCGATCGCATGTCTAACGATCGCCCTGCTGTCAGGACCTGAAGCTTCGCCTCTTTCGAACATCTCCTGAAGGTGTGCGTCAAACACTTCCTTTACCTTAGCTTCTCCCCGCACCTCGGACTCACCTCATGAATGGGACCTGAGGGCCGGCCTCTCACCGCTAATGCGGGGTGCTGGGATCAGACAATGAAGGACGATCGGCAATCCTGGGAGGCCGACTGATGTCCCTTCCCGGCTATTGCCAGGTCTGTGAAACAACATCGGACTCACGGGACTCCGGTGTAGAATGGATGTGAATGTCAGCAGCATCAAACAGCTCCTCATCCCTCAGCACAGAACCTATTGGTTCTGGGCTAGCCCTCCTTGCCTTCGACCTGTCTAATCTCCGGCTAACGGCGATGGTCTCTTTGCAGAAGCGCTACGCTCCCTGCTGGCAGACCCGCCTCCACCCCACTGAGGAGTGAACTCATTGCTTGACCTCAGTGGCTCAAAGTGATCTCCAATTCCAAGCGCACCTGCAAGTCTCCCATCTCTTGCTGCCTCTTCCATTGCATTAGGAGCACGCCCTACCGGCCTTGGACGAACCAGTATCCCGGTTAGTGTCCTCAACCCTCTGGTGCAACGATCCTCCAAATGTGATGTTGGGGAAAGGTGGAACATTTGGGATAGGCTCAAGCTCGCCGTCATGGATTGGTTTTATCCCGACTCTCCCGGATCCGTTCTCTATCACTCCAGACGCCCTTGTCCTCATGAAGGTCCCTCACACTCGCACCAGCTGGACTCCTGGCCCTCGCAGCATCGCGGCTCCTCGCATTTTGGTAAGACGAACTCTCTTCTTCATCACGAGCGTCCGCAAATGCGGCATATTCATCATCATTACCATACTCATATGGAGTCGTTGAAATTGGATTGGGCCTATCGGCATCAGACTCAGGTTTCACGCTACTGCCCCATTGGTCAACTCGAGATATCTTTCTGGAAAACCAAGGTTTCTGGTCCTCGTGGCCTGTCCGCGAGCTTTCTTGAGGCCTGTAATTCACCTGCAAAAAGAGACCTAGGAGATCGGCCAGGCATAGCCTCCAGGTCGTCCGTATGCGAGCGGGCCACGCTGATGAATGCTGATGAAGTTCAATGGCTCCTGTCCGAGCGAAACCTGATACGGAGCCGCCCCTATGGGGCGAGCTCCTCGTCCTTGCTCATACGGTCGTCTCCATCGTCAGTGCATCTGCCGCGGCTTCGGGGTGTGTCCCTATATCGGGATCATCACCCCTACGGTCCTGACCTGCTGAACCTGCTTCAAAGTCCTCGTAGTCGTAGCCTCATCCACGACGCTCCTACAGGATCGTGGGCGTCATTGAGCTTGTAGTTGATGGTCTCAAGCGGCTGATAACCTGTGATTCGGGCACGAGTTGAGATAAACAAGCCAAATAAAGATAGGTTCCCCAAAGATCAGGGTTTCCCACACACCAGAGAACAACAACCAAAAGGGAAATAAACCAAAGCAAGAATGCAAATACCCCAAACCTGGATCGACGATGAACCGCACGGGCGGACCCCACCAATCTGCCCCGGGCCGATGTCTCTTTCTCCACCGACACAAAGGTGATCGACGCGGGGACCCGGCTCATCCAAGGCGCGACGGACCCGCAAACTTGAGCCAAACACCAACCACCTAAAAGGATACGATTTCCACCCCATGAGACAATTTTTGGACATCAATCTGGGGCCTAAACCAATCATTCTTCTCCAACCCCATGTCTACCAAAATGTTGTTGTGGGTTGGTGGGTGTGTGTGTGTGGGTGGGTGGGTGGGTGGGTGGGTGGGTGGGTGGGTGGGTGGGTGGGTGGGTGAGTGGGTGGGTGGGTGGGTGGGTGGCCTGGTAAGTGGAAGCATCCAAAACCCCCGCGTGACTGCTCCTGCTTCATTTTGAGCCACCCCCATGTGAGTCGTAATCAAAACCCGGAATTAAAATGGTCTACCCAGAACCATGCTTAAAGAATTCTGCCCCGGGCCGACGTCTCTTTCTCCACCGACACAAAGGTGATCGACGCGGGGACCCGGCGACGCTCATCCGAGGCGCGATGGACCCGCAAACTTGAGCCAAACACCACCGGTCAGTCACTATCGCGTGATGATCTAAACCATGGCTAATCACAAATTGGATTACCAACCACCTAAAAGGATACGATTTCCACCACAGGGGCAATCTTTGGACATCAATCTGGGGCCTAAACCGACGATTCTTCTCCAGCCCCATGTGGCTACCAAGATGGGTTGCCCTGGTAAGTGGAAGCATGGACCAAAACCCCCCGCGTGACTCCTGCTTCATTTTGAGCCACCCCCTGTGAGTGATAATCAAAACCCGGAAATAAAATGGTCTACCCAGAACCATGCTTAAAGAATTAAGAAGGCGGATATCCGCAGCTATTTCTGCTTGGGCTTGTCCCTTACTAACCTTCATCAATCCCCGGGTTTTGAGCACGTGGCTCAGGGCCCGCCCCTCTTCAGCCCGCGGCCGCCCGGTGAGGCCAAATGCCAAAGCCATGGCCTGGCGATCCGCGATCCGCGATCCGTGCGTCGGGGTCATGAAACCGCCGGAAGGGGCCGTTGAATCAGGGTAGCCTTCTCGTCTGTTTTTGGTTGGAAAAAGCTTGGTTTTGAGTCAGGTGACGGGGGCCTATGGTGATTGGACTTCCCCTCTTTTTGAGGTTGCCCTCCTGAACATAGAACAGACCCATGTTGCAAGACGACTGAGACTTTTTTCTTGTTGGTTCGATAGGTGGGGAAGAAACGGAATGACCCCCAAAAAAGCCCTCCGACTGGTTGGGAACCCTGGCTCGGTCATTCCCTACTGAGAAGCAAGATTTTGAGGGTGCCGTCCACGTTTGAATTCTTTCTTTGGGACGCAAGGAACACAGAAGAATTAAGCCACATTTGTGCGTGGCCCACCGACGTACCACAAAGACACACCCAATTCCACTGTCTCAATCCCCACAGAGACATGGAAATGGACATTCCAGTCGACATGCCCCCCGAATTCCATTAGAGGGTGGGCTGAACGTTTGGCACGCCTTTTGGGCAGCGAATCGGTGGACACGCAAAGAGCACGCAAACCAAGAGCTCAAGAGCCAGAAGACCGAGCCACACCCTCTCCAGCGTCCATCCGGCCATCCGGCCTGACATCTCTCTCACCTCATGGTTTGCACTTGCGGCTTGGAGTTGTCTCGCGTGAGAGTTGCTATTGAAAAGTGACCCGACGCCTTCCGCAGATCGTCTTTGCTTTCCGGTGGCCCTTGAAAGGGCAGCTGTCTTGAAAAGGCAGCCCTCTCCATCAAATCGTTGAGCCAAGGCCAAAGCATCCGGGCAAGTCTTGTCAACCGGCGAATTGGAATCAACTGAGCATTCCTGCCTGCTTGCCTTTGTAGCCCTTCATTTGGAGACTGATGCGGATGAATTAGAACCTTGACATCTGCTTCTTGTGCTTGGTGGCACACTGGCACATGCGCCTGTCCCTCCTCTGTAAACGAAACAGAAGCAAAAAGGGCATGAAATGCGGTAAAGCCCAAAGATCACAATCAACACCCGGTACTACTTTGGTCTACCCAGAAGCATGTAAAAAAGATACCGAAGCGGATATCCGCACCGATTTATCGCTGCGAATGTCCCTCGCTAACCTTCATCTACCTGGGTTGTGCTTGCCACCCGCGCTTGCCGCCCGCGTCTTCGGCTGTTTTCGGACGCCTTTTGCAATATCCACCAGCCTCAGGGCAAGAGCCTCATCGCGCCTTGACAACGCATGTGGGTGTGTGAAGCGAAAATGGTCGGGTTGTTTTTTTGGGTTTCCCTTCCAATTCACCATGTAGAATATTGTGGAAGATTCCTGGTATTGACATCAGCTCGTCTGGATTGCTGGCCAGTTGAGAAAAGAAAGATGGCACGCCTCAACCCTGCGCTGGGTTCAAGGGGCAACTTTGTCAGCCATCCTTTTGTCTCCCCGCAAGTCCGCAATGATAGTTCCCCCAAACAACCATTCAACCACCTCATGTCCAGCGAGAAAGCCAAGGCAATTTCTGTTGAGCTGTTGGTGTGTGTGTGTGTGTGAACGTGTGTGTGGGTTTGCATGTGCGTTCGTATGGGTGTGTGTGTGTGTGACTCTGGGTGTGTCTGCGGGTGCGCGTGTGCGTCTTCGCGCGCGGTCGGGGGCGGGGGCGGGGTGTGGGCGGAGCGGGGCGGGCGGCGCCACGTCGCGCCGCTTCCGTGCCGTGTGGCTCCCGTGCCGTGCCGCGTCGTGTTGCGCCGCGCGCCGTGCCGCGCCTGTGCCCCGTGGTGCCGTGCCATGGCGTGGCGTGGCGTGGCGTCGCGTGGCGTGGCGTCGCGTGGCTTGGCGACGCGTGGAATCGTGGCGTGGCGTGGCGTGGCGTGGCTAGGCTTCAGGTAGCCCAACACATCAAAACATGCGTCACATTGAAGACATGAGTTGCGTCACTTGCATGGTAGCATGGTTGCTGCCGTTTCACAAAGAACAACGCTGCACACACCGCACAGCACAGCGCGCCTGGCCAGGCAAACCTGCAACTCAACAATGAAACTTGGTTTGCGACTTGCTGCAGTTTCTGGTGTTAAGCAGGCTGGCCTAAAAACACTCCAACCAGCCTTGGCAATCAGTTCAAGCACGTGGGCGAACGTTGGCGGGGGTCGCTTTGGAAATTACAACCCGGAACTTCCCAAACCTTTCCCTTCCAACAAACATGTAACATCAACAACGCCGGCTTGCAGGGATTGGCAGCGGAGGCGGCACACCTCAGTTCGGGCACGAGTCGCGAGTTGCGCATGGTCCTGTTTCGGATGCAAGGCGGTCCTTCGGTCCTTCTGGCAACCCGCGTTTAGGGGGAACACACTCGCCCCCCAATTTTTGCCGCCGCAACACCACACATGTAAAATCTCCCTGGAAACTCATATCAGGCCCCCTGGATTGCCACACCCCGTCAAGCAAGCCACGGAGACTTTGGCACCCACCAAATGCATCTGACGCGGCCCCAACGCCTCCTCACCCCTGGGACCGAAGCAAGTCATTTTTCCCTATCAGCTATCGTGTGTGCCCCAACAATTCCACAACGATAGCTCCCCCCAACAAACCTGGCAACCACATCATCTCCGGCAAGAAACCCAAGGCAGTCCGAAACTCATTGGACCGGCGTTTTGTTTTGCGCGGCCATGCCATGTGTGTCTGTATGTGTGTTTTGCGCTGACGAAGGCTTGCGCATGACTGCGTTCTTTGCGCACATCTCATTTTGTCGTAGCGTTCATCTCAGGGCTTCGGTGCGAAACTCGCATCCCGAAGAGATGAATGCAAGGATCAACGCCGTTCGCGTCGTAGACGCTTATGTTGCAACGCAATATGCAAATTCAGAAGGTTTGAGTTGTCCTTTACATGAGAGCATCCCAAGTACGTATACAACAACGCGCTCTGTCTGGTGAGTCAGCTCCTTCCGTCGCGAACAAACATTGATACATGTCAATGTCCGCCGCCATTGCTCGGCGTGTCGGACACCTAAGAGAGGATAAAGGATAACCCCCTTTCCCCCGCGCCCGACGTCTGATACGTAGGGTGCAGCGGGGGGGCTCCCAAACGTACCGCGCGGTAATTTGATGACGTTCCACTAAACGTAGTCTTCGGGGAGCCGGTGTCGCAAAACAGGGGTCCCAGGCTTCAATCCCCCTGCCGGCTCTTTGCTGGTTTGGGTTTCCTGCCTCCTTTTGCCGAAAATCTGTGAAAAACTCTGTTTTTGGACGTCCTCTTTGCGAAAACGCTGGAAAAACCGTGTTTTTTGCGGGAAGTACTGGGGAGCAAAGGGGAAATTCAAGGAAGGGCAAGGAAATTAGTGGAGGAAATAGGAAGTCGATATGACAGGAAAGCAAAAAAGGGAACTGAAAAGGGACATGAAAGGGACAGAAATGAAAACAAGGGGGGTGCAGGGGGAATGAAAGGGAAACAAAGCACAAGGAAGCCAATCGGCACGACGGGAGATGTAGGGAAATGACTCGCGACGAAAGAACGGGACATACATGGAAAATGAAGCGATCATACCGAGAAAACGACAGGGACATGAAGGGGGAGTTGAAAGGAATGGAAGGGAGAGAGGACGACAGAACACACGAGGGAGACAAGGGAGAGAGGAAGCTAAAGTTGCCTTGTTTCAGAACGCTAAGCAGTCTTCACCCCTTCTCCGTTTACAACATCCGCGCACTCACCTACGAAGCTTGGCTGCTTCTGAGTTATATGTCCCGCGTCGTACTTTGGCATGTTGAACCCACGTGCGCCTTCCGAGCAAATTGTCTGAGCAAGTTTCGCAAAGCTAGTTCTCTAAGCAAGTTGTCTGAGCAAAGAAATACTGTACAAGAGCTGTAGCCCGAGGCCCCCCCAAAACTCTCTTCTGACCGACACCAACTCTTTCTCAACAAGCCCAACCACCCACCAACGAAGGCACGCGCCAGCAATTGTTCACCCAATTCTGCTCGAGCCGAGTGTATACGTGAGCGCATGAACGGCGCACGTATTGTGTTTCAAACACACATCTAATCACGCTGACAGACGACACCTTAAATATTTTGTCACATTGAGGACATGAGCTGCGCCGCTCGCGTGGCAGCATGGTTTGTTGCCGCTTCACAAGGAACAACGCTGACCACACCTCAACGTTGGCCAAAACAGTGAAACTCGGAACGCAAACTGTTGCACCTGGGTGTTCTGGTAAGGCTGCCACAAAAGCCAGCAAGCACTTCAAGCGCGAGGGGAACATTGGGGGCGGTCGATTTGGAGGCCAGCTACCCCAAGCCCCGAAATAAAGCAACAACCCCGAAATTCCCGAACATGTCCCTTCCAACAAACAGAAAGCGCCCAGCGCATAAACGCCTGGTGATGCCAAGACGCATGGTTGCGCCAAGACCTTGTGAGATCGCCAAGCACCCGTGCGAGGGTTACAGTTGTCGTTGTTGAAACCGCGCCATGTGCATTAACTCCAGGAAGGCCACCTGAGCACGGTAACTTTTTGGAACAGGGCACACGCTGGATATTGTGGCTACTCCATGCGGGAAATTGGATGATTGTTGAAGACTACCCCGACAGCGGCCTGAGCAAAATGTTCGCTTTCTCGCGTGTTGGATCTAAAACCAAATTTGGTACTGGGGCGCGCAAACATTTGGACCAACTCTCAGAACCCTGACAAATCACCCTTGGGATCGGGGATCGTTCACAGCAAGAACGGCTGCTATGTTTCGACGAAGCTGCCAACCTTTGACGGAGTGAGCGCGAGCAGGCGCGTGCGCTGTTTTGCCGCTCAGTGTCCGACCATGGGCAGACTTGGTGTTCGGCCCCTGTCATTCCGCCCAAGTAATCTTGCATACCAGCGTAATTGCGCAGCCACAAATGTATGCCTTTTGTGGGAGTTTGTAAGAATTCTGAATTTCCTGTGTTTCCCTCCAAGACCACAAACAGGGGGGTGGGCTCAAAAACAGCAGACCCGTACTCTTCTGCAAGGCGCCTAACACTGCAAACGTGACAGCAGGATATTGAGCTGCACCAGGCGCCCGCAAAGGACAAATGAGTCTGACCTGTCCGCTTGCCAACGGTATGTGAAACACTATCAAATGCCAGTGTCAACACAATGATTAAAAAAGAACTGGAATGCGACTCTTTTCGAATCGTGTTCCAAGGTTAGACCTCCATCCTTGATAGTCTCGGGCAAGCCTGTGCGCTAATCTGGCACGCACGCGCAGCCAGGCCGCAGGGCGACTCGGCGCTCCAGAGGCGAATCGCATGCTGGCGCCGAGGCCGCCGAGGCGTCAGGTGCAGCGTGGCAAGCCCGCGGCGCAGCATGTAGACTGCCTCCCTTCCATCGCGCGCATCCCGGCGCGTCATGCCCGGCGCAAGGCTCCTCGTCCAGAATGACGAGTCTTCTGGACACCTCGCCGCTGGTTCGAAAGAAAAGGACACCACCTAATGGCTGTCCTTTCCTGCAAACAAACTTAGGAGATTGGTTAGAATGTAACACCTAGGAGATTGGTAAGAATGTTGCTCATGACCTGAACTATGCAGCCCTCAGTCAAAGTTGCCACAAAATGTTTCTCCATATTGGGCCCTGCACGTTTCTCCGAACGTCCTGGGAAAACGGTAGGACTTTCCCGTGCAAAGTGATCGAGAGCGCAGTCCAAGCAGCAAAGCCGCTTCAAGCAGCAGCACCGGACCTGAGGAAGTCGAGGGATAAAAACGACAGTAGAGAGAGAGAGAGAGAGAGAGAGAGAGAGAGAGAGAGAGAGAGAGAGAGAGAGAGAGAGAGAGAGAGAGAGAGAGAGAGAGAGAGAGAGAGAGAGAGAGAGAGAGAGAGAGAGAGAGAGAGAGAGAGAGAGAGAGAGAGAGAGAGAGAGAGAGAGAGAGAGAGAGAGAGAGAGAGAGAGAGAGAGAGAGAGAGAGAGAGAGAGAGAGAGAGAGAGAGAGAGAGAGAGAGAGAGAGAGAGAGAGATGTCAAACTACATGCTTCACTTCCTGCATTTGTGTTGCATGTGACTGCAGGCCTTGAGCTCACTACATCGCATGTGTAAAAGGTGGATTGCTGCAGACTACAATCGGTTGACTGTTTGTTTGAACATACAGCACTTGCACTTGTAAGCAAAGTAACCACCGATTTTAACGTGGTAGCGGAGCTGAGATCCTAAACATAGGGGAGCTCCAGTAAGCAGTAAGTACTACAACCACAGCAACAGCAGTCACATGCCAAACTACTACGACATGTCAGGAGAAGCAGCATCAGCCTCAGCACAACAAACTACAGGAGCAGAGAACGGGCCAACAGCAGACACAGTAGGAGCCACAACTACGGGAGCAGGAACAGAACAAGACAACGACGTTCAGAGACTACATAGATACAAACTGCCACCACCCTTCTTCACTGGTGACGACTCCCAGTATGAAGAACGGCTGTTCAAGCTACAAGCATACCTCGACCCTACACAAGCAACAAAAGCAGTAGACCTCTCACGAGATCTACACTACATCCTCATCAACATCTGTCAGGGAGCAGCAGCTACAGTAGTAAGGCAAAACCGCTACAACGCAAACGGATGTGAAACACTACGACTACTACACAACAGGTTCAGCCTACCAGTAGGAACAAGGAGCGTTGGTTACCTTACCAAACTACTGGAACCTACATTCAACGAAGCGCAGTTTCAAGAACAATTTCTACAGTGGGAATACGACATCAACCGCTACGAGAAAGACAATGGAACAGCACTACCAGATGGAATCAAAATAGAAATACTACTCAACAAAACCAAAGGAGCACTGCGGCAACATCTCCAACTGCGAGCTGGACAGATCACGAACTACATCGAGATCAGAGCACTCATCTTGGACTACTACAAGACGATTTCAGCCTTCACTAGATCTACTTCAGCAGTAGGAACAAACTACAATGGAGGAGCTGCACCAATGGATGTTGACAACCTATGGAGGAAAGGAAGAAACTACAAAGGCAAAGGAAAAGGAAAAGGCAGCTACAAAGGAAGCAAGAGCAAAGGCAAGTACAGGAGTAAAGGGCACTACAAAGGATTCGACAAAGGCAGCAAAGGAAACTACAACAAAGGAGGATACAACAAGAGCAAAGGAAAAGGCTACTCAGGATCCAAAGGATATGGATCAAGCAAAGGCTACAAAGGCCAAGGAAACTACAGCAAATCAAAAGGAAAAGGAAGCAACAACTACACAACATGCCATCGATGTGGCAAGCCTGGCCACTGGGCACAAGACTGCAGAGTGCCAGTATGGCACATAGGAGAAGGAGAAGAACTACATCCACTAGAACAAGAACAAGCAGATCATGACAACAATGAAGAACTACCTCAGGATGTGAACGACACTTGGGACTGGTACTACGAAGGAGAAGAAGGACAACACGAGGTGAACTACATGGAGGAGAACTGGAACGACTACGACTATGACAACAGCTGGGATTGGAATGACAACAGCTATGAGGACACAGCAAACTACATTGGAGGCATCAACGAGTCACACCTTACCATTGGACACATCAGACAAGCAAACTCGCGACTACACAAGCACAAACCCAAATCACAAGGTCGTAGCGGTAGGTCTGGTGCGTAGTCCTTCGGGCAAACATGTGTAGATGCTCCTGAGTCGATCAACAGGTGGTGGTATGACTTGAAGTTGGAGTACATGATGTAGTGTGTGATAGTGTCCTCAATCTTCTTGTTCCTTTGTTGTTGTCTTGCTGCTGCTATGTCAAAGTGTGGCTGTGTGTTGTCTTCTTGCAGGAATTGTTGAGCTCTTGCTGTGGTCGTTCCATGATGTTGTACACGGTTACAAGCAAGAAGATTCCTGTCTACGGCATCAAGTACGTTCCCTACAAGCAGGACAACTTCAGGATCATGATACCCTACTACGTTTGTGATGTGAAGTATCCAATCCTCAGTGCATCAAGACTACTTGATAGAGGATATGGACTTGACTTCACTCCACGACACTGCACCATCACACATGGACAACAACAAGCACACCTCATAAGACACTCAGGACTTTTCTACCTACAAGCAGAGAAGATCGACATCCCTACAGGATTCGACATCTACCCAATGACTACAGACAATGGAAAATCCATTGCTGTGATTCAACCTACGGAGAAAACAGTACAACAAAGAACAAATTGCACCACTCACTCACACAGACCAAGGACTACGACAGATTCTTGGTGGAAACACTGACTACTGGAAACTTGATGGTGACTACGCCATCAGAGTACACAAACGACCACGCAAAGCATTATTCACACCACACAACAGCGGTTGCCCAATACCTGAAGGAGAACTAGATGATTGGCGACTAACCTTCATCAACAGACAAGGGCAAGAGCAAGAACAACTACAAGAGAACCCAACACAACTTTCCAAGCAAGAACTGCAACGAAGACTAGAAGGTGACAACTGGACTGGAGAAACCAGACTCAGAAGAAAGTTAACACCTACACACAGAGCAACATCAAAGACCACACCAACAAGGCAGAGCTCACAACCACAACGGCTAATGGACACACCACCAATCAGATCAAAGATCCAACTACGAGCACCACAAAAGATATGGAGACCTAAAGCAGCACCTTCTACAGATCTTGACACCACACAACCAAAGGAGACAATCCACAGACCACTCACAGCTATTCACTCCGACAGATGGACCAGGACATCCACCAATCAGCACACTTGAGCCTCACAGAACTACAATCACTCACAACAACTTTGGAGAAGTTTCGCAACGCAAAGATGACTGGACAGTCATGGGCAACGCAGCACTACCATTTCAATTGAAAGGAACAACAAGGTTCACCGTGAAGAAAGACTACGAGTACATCCAGGAGAACCACGATGAGGAACAACAACACGAGCATCATGAAGCACACAGAGCAAGAGGACTACGACAACCGCAGCAGCCCACTCCACAACAAATAGCAGAACACAACTTGACACACCTACCATACAGAAATTGGTGTCCAATTTGCGTTCAAGGCAAAGGACGCCAGGACAACTACAAGAAACAACAATCACGACAACCCATCATCCAAGTGGATTTTGCCTACATCAAATCACAACAAGATCCGAAGACCATACCAGTCTTAACAGCAGTTGATGTTACTACACAACTGTGCATGGCGGTATTGGTTCCGGACAAACCATCAATGATGGACTACATGATCAACAACCTACAAGCATTCATCTTTGAATGCGGAAGAACACAAGGCATACTACAAAGCGACAACGAAGACACACTCAACGCACTACTAAAAGCAACAGCATCTAAAGTCGGCTCAATGACTGTACGACATTCACCATCCTACAGCAGCAACAGTCAAGGAAGCGTTGAGCGACTACATAGAACACTTCTCGGACAAATCCGCGTCGTCAAAGCTCAGGTTGAAAGCAACAACTGACGATGTCCACAAAGCACTGTCTACTACCTTGGATAGTACGACATGCAGCATGGACGGTAAATCGCTACGTCATTCACTCAGACGGCTACACAAGCTTTGAACGCCGCTGGGGAAGAAACTACGAGCGAGCAATCTGCGAATTTGGCGAGACACTACTTTACCTTCCACCACAACACAAGAAACTTCCAAAAGCAGACCTACGGATGCAGAAATGCATCTGGCTCGGAAAAGTTTCCGAAACCGGAGAAAACTACGTCGCAACGGAATCAGGCGTACAAAAGGTACGAACAGTACGGAGACTACAACCGGACTTCAAATACGACCTCGCACTGTTGAACAAAGTTTCCGGCACACCGTGGGCACCACGACGGAACACCTACAACCCATCGTTCGCAACACTGTTGGATACGCAACTACAACCGTCAGAGAAAAGAAGGTCCACGCAAGATTTCGGACAACAAACGAACGCTACGGACGACATCGTTGCGGAACCCGCAACAAAACAACAACGCACTACACCACCTCCACGACTTCCGTCCACATCGACGTCAAGTTCACGACCACTACCGGATAGTCCTATGGCTACTTCACCAACCGGACGACAACATCCACCACTACCAGCACCACCTCGACAAACACTACGACGTTTAACTCCGGAAGAAGTAATGCAACCAACTAAAGCACAGAAGACCTCAAAGGACACTACAATCAGATCAACGGAGCAAGCAACCAAAGAACCACCACCACTACGACAGAAAATCAACGCAGTGACACTTCCCAACAAATCCATCACCCCCTACACAAACGACGACACCTCAGAAGACCAACCCATAATCTTCGACAACGAAGGTTACGACGAAACACAACTACTGGAAGGAATGAAACACGAGTCAAACCAAATGAAGCTACATGACGTCTACGACGAAGTAGATGCGTCTACCGTCGACGACAACGTCATCAGAGAAGCGATACCTACAAGATGGGTACACAGAAAGAAAGGACCAGGAGTACGAAGCCGAATCGTCGCGAAAGGCTACACAGAGAAGATCGAGGACGAAGACTCCGTCTACGCCTCTACACCAATGTTCACGACACTCCGGACACTTCTCGCACTACAAATGTCACGACCAAACTGGATCGCGCGACTAGGTGACGTCTCTACAGCATTTCTACACGCACCCATCGCAAAAGACCACGACGGTAAACAACGTGACGTCTACCTTTGGCCACCTAAAGAACTTTGTCCACAACAGGACAAAATCTGGCGACTACAGAAAGCCATGCGTGGGCTACGCAGTTCATCAAAAGCATGGCAGGACTACCTGGCTGAAGTGTTACAAAAGCTCAGCTTTGTAAGACTAAAGTCAGAACCTAACGTCTACATCAATGCGACTCGTGACTGCTACATCATGGTCTACGTGGATGACCTCTTGGTACTTGGTGACAAGACTACTGTCGACTCCACCTTCGAGGCCATTCAGAAGCAGGTCCTACTCAAGCACATCGGCTACCTCGAACCTGGCAAACCACAACAATTTCTTGGAAGAAACATCGACCACTTTGGCAACTACTGCAATCTTGGACTAAAGGACTCCTACATCGACAACATGATCGAGGAGTCTGGAATGAACAACTGCAACTCAGTGAACACTCCAGGAATTGCACACTACAAACCAACAATAGAAGATGAAGCACTACTTGACCACGAACAACACAAAAGGTACAGAAGGATTGTTGGCAAACTTCAATGGTTAGCATACACACGACCAGACATTGCATACTCCACAAAAGAACTAGCACGAGACCTCACAGCACCTACAGAACTTTCACAAAAGAGAGTCAAACATCTACTACGCTACTTGCACGGCACCAAGCACTACAAATTCACCATAGAACCAACAACAACACTCAGAGCAAACACCAACAACATCCTGGATCTCGACGTTCATGTCGATGCCGACTGGGCAGGATGCCCTACTACCAGGAAATCAACTTCAGGTTTCAACATCATCTTTTTAGGAACAACAGTTGCATTTGGCAGCAGAACACAAGCTACAATAGCACTCAGCTCAGCAGAGTCTGAACTCTACGCCATTTGCACAGGAGTTAATGAGGGACTACACCTCAGAAACTTCCTACTTGAAACCAACACTTGCAGCAAGCTAAACCTACGCATCCACACAGACTCCACAGCAGGCAAGAGCATTGCTACACGACAAGGCACTAGCAAACGAGCAAAACACATCGACCTTAAATTTCTCTACACACAAGACCTCATCAAGCATGACATCATCAGAATCCTTAAGATCAACACACTCCACAACAGCGCAGATTTGTTTACCAAATACATCAGCAAAGAAACACTACACAGGCTCATCCAGAGCATTGGAATACACATTTAGCACTACGAACGACCAGCGCAGCAGTTTCACAACAACAACAACGACTTTGGACATTTCATGTATGTAAGTAGCTACATGTAACACGACACTTTTGGTATGTAAGTAACAGTAACTACATGTATTTGCACTTGCACTTTTGGCGGCCGAGTCAACACTACAGTTGTTTGTTTTACATGTCTGCATGCGCCGCCTGCCTGATAGCAACTACTCAGGCTCATTTTGTTTTGCCCCGTTTCACTACATTCGCACTCCACTGCAGCCATGGCCGCTCCATCTACTGCAGATGCTACAATGGGAGATGCGACTACACCCGACAGGGCGTCTACACCGGAGGTGGCTGACACTACGGACTCCAGTGACCATGGAACTCCACCACCTCAAACCTACAACGGCTCCAACTACCACTTCAACCACCCTACACCTGGCAACACAGTCTGCTACAACCCGACCACAGTGATGGACCAACTACACATCACTGAGCACCAGACAACCACTACACCACCACTGCCCGACAACACACGCTACACACAGTTTTTCACTGCACTCACACTCGAAGAGTATCAACTACTTTCACATCAACAAGCAACTCCACTTGCACAACTGGACTACACACAACCCATCTACTGCATCCCTGGAGATCTTCGGATGCCCCACTACAACTCCACCCTTCTCAGCGTTTCACTACCTGAAGCAGCCAACGTGCACTACTACCATACGACTTCCCTTCACACTACAACCGGCGACAACAACAACTACGTCATCATCCAACTGCAGATTGAACAACAACTACTCCTGAGGTACCTCACTTCAGGACAATTTATCCACTTCACCAGAGACTACATTTCCTACATGATGTCGGTACAACAGAACTACTACCTCCCAACTACAACACTGCCACAGACGATCTACAAGGTGAACTACAACATGACCATCTTCACCGACAACTACAGCCTCAGAAACAACTATCTTTGGAACTACCACATGCCACTACTACTACCTGAACTACTCCACTACCTCTACAACAGAGACCAACTCCACGACTACCAACACAAGGCAATCACTACAATTCTCTGCAAGAGTATCCAGTACTACGGATTTACACTACTCACCATGACAAACCTCACACAACACCACAAGGCACTACTACACCGCTACCTCAGGGACTACAACCAACACATGTCATGTCCCGAGATCGACGATGAGCGACTACGAGGAGCACCAAACTACATGACAACCTTTTTCACCACGAACTACTTTGCGACCTTGGACAGTCGACTACACAAGGTCCAAGACTACCGCACCCAGAACTGGGGACTACATCTTTGAGCACATGCTCTACAACAACAAGTGCCTGCCTCACTACTTCCGTCCAGCGCACTACATCGAGCTGGAACCTGAACAGCGAGAACTACTGAGTGCAGGTTACTACTTTTGTCACTACAGTAGAATTGATGAACAACAATGGTTTTCATCACTACTGCCAATCCATGTTTTTTTGGCACTTCAGCTGAAAAGGTACTACAAAGACCTTTTAACTGAGGGGCCGTGTCAAACTACATGCTTCACTTCCTGCATTTGTGTTGCATGTGACTGCAGGCCTTTAGCTCACTACATCGCATGTGTAAAAGGTGGATTGCTGCAGACTACAATCGGTTGACTGTTTGTTTGAACAATACAGCACTTGCACTTGTAAGCAAAGTAACCACCGATTTTAACGAGAGAGAGAGAGAGTGAGAAATTGCTAAATGGGCTAAAACCCGCGGTTTGCCCTAGGTCTTCAATTTTGAACCACACCCATATATACAGAGACAGAGAGAGAGAGAGAGAGCGAGGAAAGGGAGGCAGAGAACGGAACAGAGAATAAGAGAAGAACAAATGATGGAAAGGGAGACAGCGAAACACACAAACACAAAGAGAGAGAGAGCGAGAGAAAGCAAAGACGGAAGAGGCGAAGAGAGACAAATACATGAGATAGGAAGAAGGACAGAAGAAAAGGAAAGAACGAAAGAAAGAAAGGAAGAAAGGAAAAACACAGGAAGAAGTCTGTCAATAAAGAAATACTGAAAGAAGTCTGTCAATAAAGAAATAGAAAGAAATAAAGAAAAAATGAAGAAAGAACAAAAATGAGCAACCAACAAAAGAAAGGCAAACAACAAATACTGCAAAGAAAGCAAATAAAGCAAAAAGAGAAAAAGAGAAAGACAAAAGGAAAGACAAAAAGAAAGAAAGAAAGAAAGAAAGAAGGAAGGAAAGAAAGCAAGGAGGAAAGAAAGAAAGAAAGAAAGAAAGAAAGAAAGAAAGAAAGAAAGCAAGCAAGCAAGCAAGCAAGCAAGGAATGAAGCAAGGAAGGAAGAGAAGAAAGGAAGAGAAGCGAAAGAGAGGAAGAGAAGAAGGCAACATAAAATAAGTGAAAGAGCAAAAACCGAGCGAAGGCGAAAGGGAAGATCAAGAGAAAGCAAAAAGACAGAAAGAGAAAGAGGGAAAGAAAAAACAGAGCCACAGACAGAGAAAGAGAAATAGAAACGAGACAGAGAAAGAGACTGAGACAGGGAAGGAAAAGCAGCAGGAGCAGGAAAAGGAGAAAAAGAAAGGGAGAAAGGAAGAGAGAAAGGGAGGGGGAGATGGCGAAATTTTGAGCCGAGTTGTGAGTTGGGACAGGGAATCGGATCGCAGCAAGACAGGAAAAGTACTGTATGTCCATGAACTTTAACTTTGGCAGCACCGGTCCGGCAAAGAACGACATGCTCCCCCACTATCCTGACTCGCCTCGGCGCTTCATCCTTAACACAAAACTGTGTGCGCCAAGGTGGACCCGGGCCCCTGCCTCTGCGATGCAAATCAGCCTTGCTGCGCACCGCGCTTGCAGTGCTCAGTCACGCATACGGCATGGCAGCGCGAGCTGGCCTTTCTGGACAAACACATGGCACTGGACCAAACTGAAGCCAGTGCCATCCATGTTCAGCCAAATCTGAAAGGGACGATGGCCTCCCGGCCTTTGGCGATCCATCAAGGCTGATTCTCACACAAATCATGGGGAAATACAGCAACATTTAGGGCAGTCTTTTCAGCACCTGGCACTTCTAGCGGGGCAGCGCCCCAGCTAGGGTGATGAGCAGGAAAGCAGCACAAACTGTGCTCCTCACACGCGGCAACGCTTGAACCTTTCTGACTTCCACACTGCGACACGATGCGCACCCATCGCACCCATCGCACCATATTGCCGTTCACGCAAGCCAGGAGCGAGGCACGCATCGCATTAACATCTTATCGCCCTCGAGTTTTGCTGCAAGGCACAATGTGCAGCACCCCGTTCCCTGTTCAGCACACACGCCACTCAGCAAGCTTGCTTGCGGTCTGCACCTCATCCTCTCCCTCTCACACAGTTCAGGGTCCTTCAAACTCAAGGTGCTCGGAATCCACAGAACCCAAAGGCCGGCCTCGTGTTTGCCGCTAGCATCAAATCTAAAAGCTCAGCGAGTCAGCTTATGTTTTTCACTCCTCATTTTGGGCGCGCGCTCTCCAATTGCAGCGACTCGATACTCCGCGCTCCGGAGGCACCCACGCTGGCACGGTGTCAGGCGCAGGGCGCCCGAAAGGGCCGGCCTCGTGTTTGCCGCAGGCAGCAAAGCATGTTCAACAAGCTCAGCGAGTCAGCGTGGGTGTTTCAGGGTGCGCGCTCTCCAATTGCGGCGACTCGGCGCTCCGGAGGCACGCACGCTGGCGCTGGGGTGGGCAATGCCTGTGGCCACATTGAGGCAAACCAGTCGTGCGGCATGTCGAGATGTTCCTGCAGCCCTGGTCACTTGTGTGTGTGTTTTTTAGATGCGCGCAAAGAAGACAGAGTGCCAACTGAAAAGGCACTGCGGGACTCATTGCCTGCCCAGTTACTGGTCAGCCGCCGTCCCCCAAATGGGACGACGAGCAAAACGCGATCGGCATTCCATGTCTGTCTTTGCCAACCCTTTCGCTGCCTTTCGCGATTCTTGCGCACTCAACAGTTTTCAATGCGCGGAGAACATTTGGCCAGGAAACCCTTTCGCGGAGCTTTCGCGGACGGTTCCCGAAAACATAAGCAGGAGCAAGTAGAATGAAGTACAGCCCATGAAGCCATAGATCGAGGTGGCTTAAAACACTCACTTTCAGCAAGCAACCCAGTGTTCAAAATCGTCCTTTCGCGGCCCCTTTCGCGAACATGATTCAGCGCAAATTTGATGCACGCGCAGAGCCAGCTGAAAAGGCACTAGCTACCTGTTGCCAGCACAGCTCATTTGCTGGTCAGTCGCTGCCCACGAATCACACAACAAGCAAAATGCAGTGGACATTGCCTTGAGCCACGATTGCTGTTCTGAATGCTGCGATTGGCCCCTCAATCAAAGTGGAAACTGCCAACTTGGCGAGAGGCAAAATGAAGGCTTCTTGGCAGTCGCAAAAGACTCCCGAACAAACATGTTTGGGGCTTCGGCATTCTGGATACATATCTGCCAGAAAACTCTAAACATCCGGCTTCATAGTCGCAGTCACTTCGAACTGACCCAAATTGACCTTCTCGTCCCGTCTTGCTACAGATCATGGCGCCCCGCGCATCTCGCTAAAACCTGGTGCCAACTGGTCTCCCGGGTGCCACAGTCTAAGCTCAAACAGTTCACGCTGGGCGGATCAATGGCCTATCTGCGAGGAAATCTTCAATATCTAAACAAGACCGTAGCTCACCTCATCCGCGAAAACTTTCGCCGACTGGCATCCCGCGAAGCGCTATGCCTCCATGGTCCTTCTCTAGCTTCTTCCAGCCGAACGGGACCCCTAAACACCCTGCCGCTGCAGCCACGGGCACTTTGAACTGACCAATGATCAGGTCGAAGTGTGGTCACATGACAGAGAAACACCATCTCGCCGCTTGACAAGGTCAGTGTCTTTGTTGAAAATGGGCCGGATGACGCTGACTCGAAGCAGTTGAACGAAGGCAATTGGATGCTTGTCAAAGTATTCCACCAAAGTACTTACGCGCAACGGATCTAAAGGCCAAACACTAGGCGCGGAGCCACCGAAAAGAAAAGCTCCTTTCCATGGATTCATGGAACATCAGCTTCAGGCACTGGTCGTTGCCGAGCTCAGCAGACCTTCGCAGCTCCGAAAGCGGGCGCGTCCTCCAAGTGGGCAATAAGTATGCTCTGCGTGCATCGTCTCAGCTGACCTTCAGTTCTGCTACGATTTGGTGCGCACACGGCTCAAAGTAGCTCGCAGTATAACTGTCCAGTTTAAGACATGGGGAGAAACACTACATGTTTGATCCTGACAATTGACACGTTCATGGCAGTGAGTGGACCATGCCCGGCTTGGCTTAGAAATCCACACCCGGACCTGCGTAGGGGGGGGAACTGTCCGTGAAACAATGCCCTCGAGGTGCTGTAGCACAGCAGCAGCGCTGTCGGATGGAAAGCTCGCCAAAAGGCATAAGGGATGCCATCAGGCCCAGGGACCAAGAACCACCTGCACTGCCAAGATTGTTTGACTCCAGCAAAATCAACACAATCATGTTGTTGAAAGGAGTGCTGCCACATGTTCCTGCAGGACGCGCGTTGCCATAGAGCTGGCTCCAGGGCCCATGCAACGCGGGCGGCGTGGGGTGAGACTGCTGATTGCACTTGCCGCCACTGCCCTCATCTGCCAGCTGCAGGCCCTGCATTTCTACACGCAACGGGTTCATGCGCCGTGAAACAAATCACGAAGAGAGCTGGCAAATCACACCACGAGCAAAACGCACACCAAGGCATTGTAGACTTTATCGCAAGATGTGATGGCGTTCATAAATGCCGCACCCGTACCGAAGAAATTTCTCGGGCGCAACAGGTCGAAAGACCGGCGATCGGGCACGGAGCCGCCGGAAAGAGAAGCTCCTTTCCTCAAACGATTCGTCGCTGAGCTCAGCACACCTGCGCGGCTCCGAAAACGGGTGTCTGCAACGAGGGGAATATGGAGAGGAGAGAAGCTTCCGTCTAAATGGGCTACGCACAACATGTGGAGCTTGCACAAATTTCCTGGGAGGATCCTTCCGGATTGATGCTAAGTCAACATTGGCCATGGGCAAACTCTGCCATTTGCTCAGGTGCTTTGCCTTAGACAAGTTAGGCCTTGCACTCTAACTCTTAGATGTTCAGAATCTGATCAAAACTAGGAGGAAGACAGCCAGATTAAAACACTCCCAGAGAAAAACTCTGCGAGCCTCGCGATTCTAAGGTTCTGCAAAGTCTGATCTATAGTCAAATCGAGCTCCTCGAATCGTAGTCACGTTACAGGGTGTTGTGCTTCGGCGACGGAGCAAGCTTGCAGCTAGTCCGAAAGACAAAGCACCTCCGCTGACCGCTGGTCACGATCAGTGGGGTCAAGTTGGAGGACGTGCCTTTAGATGTGCGGTGCGGTCAAAGGACGGCTCAGACAACGAGCTCTCACACCCGTAAAAACGGCCTTCAGCACCTGGCGCGGCTGTACGGTGAAAGAACCCGAGTTTCGATGTGTTGGGGGTTCCCACAGCAATTGAGTCCCACAAAAAGGACCAGCTCGGCGCTGTTTGAGCACAATCAACAAGTGTTCAATGAAAATCTGCGGTGGTCCTCAGCTTGAGGAAGGTGAATTCAAGCCAGTGTCTTCTGGGCAAGACGCGAGCCAAGGTACTACGGACTCTGTCACAAGCCGCAATTGCCCCTGACATGCTGCGATCGGCCTCTCAAAGGAAGTAGAATTAGAAGCTGCCAACTTGGTGAAAGGCAAAATGAAGACTTCTTGGCCGTTGCACAGCAGAAAAGGACCAGCTCAGTCGGCTCCGACCAAAGCACTGAGGCGCTAGAAACCAGAGCGGGCCCTCCTTGTGGGATTCGGACATGGCGTGAGGCTGCTCAGTGCACTTGGCGTCAATCCCTGCTGCTGTGCGGTCAGAAGTCAAGAAAGAGCGTGCCCAGTTGCTGGTCAGCCGCTACACACAAATCAGATAACATGGACACGGTCGCGAGGCAAGATTGCCCCTGTGAATGCCGCGGTCGGCCTCTCAAAGAAAGTGGAAACTGCCAACTTGGCGAGAGGCAATATGAAGGCTTCTTGGCAGTTGCCAAGCGCTTTGGGTCACAAAAGGACCAGCTGCAAATACTGGGGCAAGGCTGCTCAACCAGGTAAATGTGCAATGAGAAGATAGAAGAGCCAGCTGAAAAAACACTGAGGGACACGTTGCCATCACAGTGCCCAGTTGCTTGTCAGCCCCTGCCAAGAGATCGCACATAAAGCAAAAAACGCAAGACAGGGTACTGCGGCTTTTGTCGCAACAGAAGCCGCAAGCCGCAATTGCCTTTGCAAATACTGCGATCGGCCCCTCAAAAGAAGCAGAGACTGCCAATTCGCCAAGGGGCAAAATCAAGGTTTCTTGGCAGTTTTTAAGCACTTTTGGTCACAAAGGGGCAGCGCGGTCGGTCTCAACGACGGATTGCACTGCTGTCTCCCCTGATCTTCTTGCAGGCCCGGTCACTTTTGCACTGCGCTGAGAAAACAGGAAGTGCCAACTGAAAAGGCACTGTGGGACTCATTTCCTGCCCAGTTCATGGTCAGCCGCCCACAAATCGCACGACGGCAAAACGCAAGCCAAGGTACTATGGACTCTGTCGCAAGCAGCGATTGTCCTTGTGAATGCTGTGATTGGCCCCCCAATGGAACTAGAAACTGCCAACTTGGTGAGAGGCAAAATGAAGACCTCTTGGCCGTTGCACAGCACTTTCGGCCAGAAAAGGACCGGCTAGCCAGTCTGAAGCACAGAAGCGCCTCCAACCGAAGTACTCAGTCGCCTCGGGATCGGAAGACACGGCGTGAGGCTGCTCACTCCCCTCATCTTTTGCAGCCCCGGTCCGTAATGTACACACCAGGTAGATGTGCGGTCAGAAGACAGAAAAAGCCAGCTGAAAAGACACAGCGGGACCCGATGCCAGCACAGTTGCTGGTCAGCCGACGCCCACCAATCACACAAGGACTCTGTCGCAATTAAGCCGCGATTGAACCTGTCAATGATGCGGCATGGCAAATAAAAAAGGCGGAAAAAGCCAACTTTGGCAGAAGGCAACATGTAGTCTTCGCGGCAATTGCAAAGCGCTTTCAGTCAGAAAAGGACCAGCTGCAAAAACTGGGGCAAGGCTGCTCAGTGCACGTGTCCTCACTCCCCTCATCTGTGTACACAGTGCCCAGTTGCTTGTCAGCCGCTGCCAAGAAATCGCACACGAAGCCAAAAAACATAAGCGATGGTACGCGGCTTCTGTCACAACAGTTGCCGCAAGCTGCGATCGCCTTTGCGAATACTGCGATCGGCCCCTCAAAAGAAGCAGAATCTGCGAATTCGGCCAGAGGCGAAATCAAGGCTTCTTGGCAGTTACTAGGCACTTTGCACAAAAAGGCCAGCTCAGTCTCAACGACGGAAGCGCCTCCCACCCTCCTTCAGCGATCCGCACATAATGGGGCAAGGCTGCTCATTGATTGCACTGCTGTCTCCCCTGATCTTCTTGCAGCCCCGGTCACTGTTGCACACCCGGCAGATGCGCGGTAAGAAGACAGGAAGCGCCAACTGAAAAGGCAATCAGGACTCATTGCCTGCCCAGTTACTGGTCGGCCGCCGCCCACAAATCGCACGACGACAAAACGCGAGCCAGGGTAGTATGGACTCTGTCGCAAGCTGCGATTGTCCCGGCACCCACCGAAGTGCGCTGTGCGGTCAGAAGACACACTGCAGGACACGGTGCAGTACAGCGCCCAATTGCTGGAGCTGCACACAACGCACACATCAAAGGAAGTGGAAGTGGAAACTGCCAACTTGGGGAGAGGCAAATTGAAGCCTTCTTGGACGATTCAAAGCGATTTTGGCAAGAAACGGACAAGCTCAGTCCGTGAATGGGGCGAGGCTGCTCAGAGCGATTGCCGTCATTCCCCTCATCATTTGCATCCCCGGTCATATACGTAGATGTGCGGTCACGTGTCCTCATTCCCCTCATCTGTGTACACAGTGCCCAGTTGCTTGTCAGCCGCTGCCAAGAAATCGCACACGAAGCCAAAAAACATAAGCGATGGTACTGCGGCTTCTGTCACAACAGTTGCCGCAAGCTGCGATCGCCTTTGCGAATACTGCGATCGGCCCCTCAAAAGAAGCAGAATCTGCGAATTCGGCCAGAGGCGAAATCAAGGCTTCTTGGCAGTTACTAGGCACTTTGCACAAAAAGGCCAGCTCAGTCTCAACGACGGAAGCGCCTCCCACCCTCCTTCGGCAATCCGCACATAATGGGGCAAGGCTGCTCATTGCACTGCTGTCTCCCCTGATCCTCTTGCAGCCCCGGTCACTGTTGCACACCCGGCAGATGCGCGGTAAGAACACAGGAAGCGCCAACTGAAAAGGCAATCAGGACTCATTGCCTGCCCAGTTACTGGTCGGCCGCCGCCCACAAATCGCACGACGACAAAACGCGAGCCAGGGTAGTATGGACTCTGTCGCAAGCTGCGATTGTCCCGGCACCCACCGAAGTGCTCATGCGCAATGGCTCTGAAAGCCGGAGATCGGGCGTTAATATACTAGACACTAGCATGCGCCCTCCTTGTCCGATCCGAAACACAGGGGGTGGCTGCTCGGTGCACCTGCAGTCACTCCCTCATCTTTCTGCAGCCCCAATCATGTACACACACCAGGTAGCTGTGCGGTCAGAAGACACACTGCAGGACACGGTGCAGTACAGCGCCCAATTGCTGGAGCTGCACACAACGCACATATCAAGCGAACAAAGCAAGCCCAAGGTACTGCAGACTCTGTCGCAAGCCGCCATTGCCTCGTGAATGTTGCAATCGGCCCTCGAAGGAAGTGGAAACTGCCAACTTGGGGAGAGGCAAATTGAAGCCTTCTTGGACGATTCAAAGCGATTTTGGCAAGAAACGGACAAGCTCAGTCCGCGAATGGGGCGGGGCTGCTCAGAGCGATTGCCGTCTCATCATTTGCGTCCCCGGTCATATACGTAGATGTGCGGTCAGAAGACGGGAAGTGGCAGCTGAAAAGGCACTGTGGGACCCCTTATATACGTAGATGTGCGGTCAGAAGACGGGAAGTGGCAGCTGAAAAGGCACTGTGGGACCCGTTGCCTGGCCAGTTGCTGGTCAGCCGCTGCCCACAAATCGCACGACGAGCAAAATGCAAGCCAAGGTACTATGGACTCTGCCGCAAGCAGCGATTGTCCTTGTGAATGCTGTGATTGGCCCCTCAATGGAACTAGAAACTGCCAACTTGGTGAGGGGCAAAATGAAGACCTCTTGGCCGTTGCACAGCACTTTCGGCCAGAAAAGGACCGGCTCAGCCAGTCTGAAGCACAGAAGCGCCTCCAACCGAAGTACTCAGTCGCCTCGGGATCAGAAGACACGGCGTGAGGCTGCTCAGTGCACTTGGCATCACTCCCCTCATCTTTTGCAGACCCGGTCCGTAATGTACACACCAGGTAGATGTGCGGTCAGAGGACAGAAAAAGCCAGCTGAAAAGGCACAGCGGGACCCGATGCCAGCACAGTTGCTGGTCAGCCGACGCCCACCAATCACACAAGGACTCTGTCGCAATTAAGCCGCGATTGAACCTGTCAATGATGCGGCATGGCAAATAAAAAAGGCGGAAAAAGCCAACTTTGGCAGAAGGCAACATGTAGTCTTCGCGGAAATTGCAAAGCGCTTTCGGTCAGAAAAGGACCAGCTGCAAAAACTGGGGCAAGGCTGCTCAGTGCACGTGTCCTCACTCCCCTCATCTGTGTACACAGTGCCCAATTGCTTGTCAGCCGCTGCCAAGAAATCGCACACGAAGCCAAAAAACATAAGCGATGGTACGCGGCTTCTGTCACAACAGTTGCCGCAAGCTGCGATCGCCTTTGCGAATACTGCGATCGGCCTCTCAAAAGAAGCAGAATCTGCGAATTCGTCCAGAGGCGAAATCAAGGCTTCTTGGCAGTTACTAGGCACTTTGCACAAAAAGGCCAGCTCAGTCTCAACGACGGAAGCGCCTCCCACCCTCCTTCAGCGATCCGCACATAATGGGGCAAGGCTGCTCATTGCACTGCTGTCTCCCCTGATCTTCTTGCTGCCCCGGTCACTTTTGCACACCCGGCAGATGCGCGGTAAGAACACAGGAAGCGCCAACTGCAAAGGCAATCAGGACGCATTGCCTGCCCAGTTACTGGTCGGCCGCCGCCCACAAATCGCACGACGACAAAACGCGAGCCAGGGTAGTATGGACTCTGTCGCAAGCTGCGATTGTCCCGGCACCCACCGAAGTGCTCATGCGCAATGGCTCTGAAAGCCGGAGATCGGGCGTTAATATACTAGACACTAGCGTGCGCCCTCCTTGTCCGATCCGAAACAGGGGGTGGCTGCTCGGTGCACCTGCAGTCACTCCCTCATCTTTCTGCAGCCCCAATCATGTACACACACCAGGTAGCTGTGCGGTCAGAAGACACACTGCAGGACACGGTGCAGTACAGCGCCCAATTGCTGGAGCTGCACACAACGCACACATCAAAGGAAGTGGAAGTGGAAACTGCCAACTTGGGGAGAGGCAAATTGAAGCCTTCTTGGACGACTCAAAGCGATTTTGGCAAGAAACGGACAAGCTCAGTCCGTGAATGGGGCGAGGCTGCTCAGAGCGATTGCCGTCATTCCCCTCATCATTTGCATCCCCGGTCATATACGTAGATGTGCGGTCACGTGTCCTCACTCCCCTCATCTGTGTACACAGTGCCCAGTTGCTTGTCAGCCGCTGCCAAGAAATCGCACACGAAGCCAAAAAACATAAGCGATGGTACTGCGGCTTCGGTCACAACAGTTGCCGCAAGCTGCGATCGCCTTTGCGAATACTGCGATCGGCCCCTCAAAAGAAGCAGAATCTGCGAATTCGGCCAGAGGCGAAATCAAGGCTTCTTGGCAGTTACTAGGCACTTTGCACAAAAAGGCCAGCTCAGTCTCAACGACGGAAGCGCCTCCCACCCTCCTTCGGCAATCCGCACAAAATGGGGCAAGGCTGCTCATTGCACTGCTGTCTCCCCTGATCTTCTTGCAGCCCCGGTCACTGTTGCACACCCGGCAGATGCAAGGTAAGAACACAGGAAGCGCCAACTGAAAAGGCAATCAGGACTCATTGCCTGCCCAGTTACTGGTCGGCCGCCGCCCACAAATCGCACGACGACAAAACGCGAGCCAGGGTAGTATGGACTCTGTCGCAAGCTGCGATTGTCCCGGCACCCACCGAAGTGCTCATGCGCAATGGCTCTGAAAGCCGGAGATCGGGCGTCAATATACTAGACACTAGCGTGCGCCCTCCTTGTCCGATCCGAAACACAGGGGGTGGCTGCTCGGTGCACCTGCAGTCACTCCCTCATCTTTCTGCAGCCCCAATCATGTACACACACCAGGTAGCTGTGCGGTCAGAAGACACGCTGCAGGACACGGTGCAGTACAGCGCCCAATTGCTGGAGCTGCACACAACGCACACATCAAGCGAACAAAGCAAGCCCAAGGTACTGCAGACTCTGTCGCAAGCCGCCATTGCCTCGTGAATGTTGCAATCGGCCCTCGAAGGAAGTGGAAACTGCCAACTTGGGGAGAGGCAAATTGAAGCCTTCTTGGACGATTCAAAGCGCTTTTGGCAAGAAACGGACAAGCTCAGTCCGCGAATGGGGCGAGGCTGCTCAGAGCGATGATTGCCGTCATTCCCCTCATCATTTGCGTCCCCGGTCATATACGTAGATGTGCGGTCAGAAGACGGGAAGTGGCAGCTGAAAAGGCACTGTGGGACCCGTTGCCTGGCCAGTTGCTGGTCAGCCGCTGCCCACAAATCGCACGACGAGCAAAATGCAAGCCAAGGTACTATGGACTCTGTCGCAAGCAGCAATTGTCCTTGTGAATGCTGTGATTGGCCCCTCAATGGAACTAGAAACTGCCAACTTGGTGAGGGGCAAAATGAAGACCTCTTGGCCGTTGCACAGCACTTTCGGCCAGAAAAGGACCGGCTAGCCAGTCTGAAGCACAGAAGCGCCTCCAACCGAAGTACTCAGTCGCCTCGGGATCGGAAGACACGGCGTGAGGCTGCTCAGTGCACTTGGCATCACTCCCCTCATCTTTTGCAGACCCGATCAGTAATGTACACACCAGGTAGATGTGCAGTCAGAAGACAGAAAAAGCCAGCTGAAAAGACACAGCGGGACCCGATGCCAGCACAGTTGCTGGTCAGCCGATGCCCACCAATCACACAAGGGCTCTGTCGCAATTAAGCCGCGATTGCCCCTGTCAATGCTGCGGTCGGCCCCTCAAAGAAGGCGGAAACTGCCAACTTTGGCAAGAGGCAACATGTAGTCTTCGCAGCAGTTGCAAAACGCTTTCGGTCAAAAAAGGACCAGCTGCATAAACTGGGGCAAGGCTGCTCAGTGCACGTGTCCTCACTCCCCTCATCTGTGTACACAGTGCCCAGTTGCTTGTCAGCCGCTGCCAAGAAATTCGCACACGAAGCCAAAAAACATAAGCGATGGTACTGCGGCTTCGGTCACAACAGTTGCCGCAAGCTGCGATCGCCTTTGCGAATACTGCGATCGGCCCCTCAAAAGAAGCAGAAACTGCGAATTCGGCCAGAGGCGAAATCAAGGCTTCTTGGCAGTTACTAGGCACTTTGCACAAAAAGGCCAGCTCAGTCTCAACGACGGAAGCGCCTCCCACCCTCCTTCAGCGATCCGCACATAATGGGGCAAGGCTGCTCATTGATTGCACTGCTGTCTCCCCTGATCTTCTTGCTGCCCCGGTCACTTTTGCACACCCGGCAGATGCGCGGTAAGAACACAGGAAGCGCCAACTGAAAAGGCAATCAGGACTCATTGCCTGCCCAGTTACTGGTCGGCCGCCGCCCACAAATCGCGACGACAAAACGCGAGCCAGGGTAGTATGGACTCTGTCGCAAGCTGCGATTGTCCCGGCACCCACCGAAGTGCTCATGCGCAATGGCTCTGAAAGCCGGAGATCGGGCGTTAATATACTAGACACTAGCGTGCGCCCTCCTTGTCCGATCCGAAACACAGGGGGTGGCTGCTCGGTGCACCTGCAGTCACTCCCTCATCTTTCTGCAGCCCCAATCATGTACACACACCAGGTAGCTGTGCGGTCAGAAGACACACTGCAGGACACGGTGCAGTACAGCGCCCAATTGCTGGAGCTGCACACAACGCACACATCAAGCGAACAAAGCAAGCCCAAGGTACTGCAGACTCTGTCGCAAGCCGCCATTGCCTCGTGAATGTTGCAATCGGCCCTCGAAGGAAGTGGAAACTGCCAACTTGGGGAGAGGCAAATTGAAGCCTTCTTGGACGATTCAAAGCGCTTTTGGCAAGAAACGGACAAGCTCAGTCCGCGAATGGGGCGAGGCTGCTTCGATGCGATTGCCGTCATTCCCTCATCATTTGCGTCCCCGGTCATATGCGTAGATGTGCGGTCAGAAGACGGGAAGTGGCAGCTGAAAAGGCACTGTGGGACCCGTTGCCTGGCCAGTTGCTGGTCAGCCGCTGCCCACAAATCGCACGACGAGCAAAATGCAAGCCAAGGTACTATGGACTCTGTCGCAAGCAGCAATTGTCCTTGTGAATGCTGTGATTGGCCCCTCAATGGAACTAGAAACTGCCAACTTGGTGAGGGGCAAAATGAAGACCTCTTGGCCGTTGCACAGCACTTTCGGCCAGAAAAGGACCGGCTAGCCAGTCTGAAGCACAGAAGCGCCTCCAACCGAAGTACTCAGTCGCCTCGGGATCGGAAGACACGGCGTGAGGCTGCTCAGTGCACTTGGCATCACTCCCCTCATCTTTTGCAGACCCGATCAGTAATGTACACACCAGGTAGATGTGCAGTCAGAAGACAGAAAAAGCCAGCTGAAAAGACACAGCGGGACCCGATGCCAGCACAGTTGCTGGTCAGCCGATGCCCACCAATCACACAAGGGCTCTGTCGCAATTAAGCCGCGATTGCCCCTGTCAATGCTGCGGTCGGCCCCTCAAAGAAGGCGGAAACTGCCAACTTTGGCAAGAGGCAACATGTAGTCTTCGCAGCAGTTGCAAAACGCTTTCGGTCAAAAAAGGACCAGCTGCATAAACTGGGGCAAGGCTGCTCAGTGCACGTGTCCTCACTCCCCTCATCTGTGTACACAGTGCCCAGTTGCTTGTCAGCCGCTGCCAAGAAATTCGCACACGAAGCCAAAAAACATAAGCGATGGTACTGCGGCTTCGGTCACAACAGTTGCCGCAAGCTGCGATCGCCTTTGCGAATACTGCGATCGGCCCCTCAAAAGAAGCAGAAACTGCGAATTCGGCCAGAGGCGAAATCAAGGCTTCTTGGCAGTTACTAGGCACTTTGCACAAAAAGGCCAGCTCAGTCTCAACGACGGAAGCGCCTCCCACCCTCCTTCAGCGATCCGCACATAATGGGGCAAGGCTGCTCATTGATTGCACTGCTGTCTCCCCTGATCTTCTTGCTGCCCCGGTCACTTTTGCACACCCGGCAGATGCGCGGTAAGAACACAGGAAGCGCCAACTGAAAAGGCAATCAGGACTCATTGCCTGCCCAGTTACTGGTCGGCCGCCGCCCACAAATCGCACGACAAAACGCGAGCCAGGGTAGTATGGACTCTGTCGCAAGCTGCGATTGTCCCGGCACCCACCGAAGTGCTCATGCGCAATGGTTCTGAAAGCCGGAGATCGGGCGTTAATATACTAGACACTAGCGTGCGCCCTCCTTGTCCGATCCGAAACACAGGGGGTGGCTGCTCGGTGCACCTGCAGTCACTCCCTCATCTTTCTGCAGCCCCAATCATGTACACACACCAGGTAGCTGTGCGGTCAGAAGACACACTGCAGGACACGGTGCAGTACAGCGCCCAATTGCTGGAGCTGCACAAAACGCACACATCAAGCGAACAAAGCAAGCCCAAGGTACTGGAGACTCTGTCGCAAGCCGCCATTGCCTCGTGAATGTTGCAATCGGCCCTCGAAGGAAGTGGAAACTGCCAACTTGGGGAGAGGCAAATTGAAGCCTTCTTGGACGATTCAAAGCGCTTTTGGCAAGAAACGGACAAGCTCAGTCCGCGAATGGGGCGAGGCTGCTCAGAGCGATTGCCGTCATTCCCCTCATCATTTGCGTCCCCGGTCATATACGTAGATGTGCGGTCAGAAGACGGGAAGTGGCAGAAGACACGCTGCAGGACACGGTGCAGTACAGCGCCCAATTGCTGGAGCTGCACACAACGCACACATCAAGCGAACAAAGCAAGCCCAAGGTACTGCAGACTCTGTCGCAAGCCGCCATTGCCTGCACGTGACATGTGCGAGCAATCAAGCAATCCAGGAAGTACTGCCAACTTCTGTGGCAAAAGCCGCCATTGCCTCTGAATGATTCATCGGCGCTTTTGGCAAGGAAACTGGACAATGCTCTTCCGGAGAGGCGCAAATTGAAGAGCTTGGACTGCCGTCAGCGCTTTTCCCCTCATCATTTGCGCTCCCAGTCCGCGAACGTAGCGAGCAGCTGCTCAGAGATGGGAAGTGCCGTTCAGCTGAAAAGTCATTTCATTGTGCGTCCCACGGATCATATACTGTAGCCAAGTTGCAATGGGTCAGAAGAACTGGGCAAATCGCACGACGAGCAAAATGCAAGCCAAGGTACTATGGACTCTGTCGCAAGCAGCAATTGAATGTGAATTGTGAAGTTGCAACTGGCCAGTTGCTTGTTGAGACATTGAGCTTGCTCAGCAACTCGCCTCCAAACCACCACTTAAAATGCGCGAAGTAACGGGACGACTTTTCAGAAACCAGCGGACCAGCCAGTGCCGTGTTGAATCTGAAACCGCAGCTGTCAAGAGACGGCGGGACGTCGTGGGACTATGCACCGCAAGCTGCTGTCAAAATTGCCGTCCTGTAAACTAAGAGGACATGTGTTGCAAACGGTGCGTAGTTTGCATGCCTACGTCCCCCTCAGATCTTGAAAATGTCTTGAGCCAAAGGCGATCAAGGAACTTGGGAAGGCCAAAAGGACCTCAGCGAGCTACCCACTTTCGGCACAGGGCCTAAGGGACATCCCCCATTTGCGCATTGCATCGGCGGTCCAAACCCACAGAAACTCCGCTGAACGGCTTCAGACTACGAAATCGTGTCTGCTTCAGTTACTTGCATCACTACACCGTTCATCGCAAAACAGCCGGGTTCAGATCTGTACGACAAAGTGCATTCATCCTCCAATCGAAGCACACACAATGCAGGTGATATAAGACACTGTGGTCCTTGACCGCCAGTGAACATTGCTGGTCATTTGCGCATCGGCAGCTGTCATCCATAAATGGGTCTGGCCAAAAAACCACCAGAGGCGCCTGCTGCGGTCGGCCCTGCAAAGAAACACGGTGAGTAACAATGCAAATCAACATGGAGTCCAAAAGCAGTAATGAAAAGCAATCATCAAGGTAAAGACCATCATGTCGCAGAGCGCTCATGCATCGGAATATGTAACCTCACTCCCTCAAGTGGAAATGCCCAAATGTAAAGTCTTCCGTCGCAAGGTTTGCAGAACGCAAGCAACGCGATGGGGACTGCTCACACGTTGCCGCAATCAGCATCTTCATACGCATCGGTCCCCCGGACAGCGTGAGTGCGTCGACGGAACTTCGGCCAAGCTGAAAGGCTTCTGTGGGACCACGTTGCTGTAATTCTGGTCAGCCAGTGCCCTTTCACGGAAGGCACCAATCCAGCGAGGTCTGTCACATTGGGGTGAATGCTGTGATTGGCGCTCACGTTCCCCTAGAAACTGCCAAGGTTCAGGCCATCCCGGCACGATGCATAACTTACAGGAAAGCCGTGCAAAGCATCTGAACTAATTCACCCACCGGGTGCACTCGGTCCTTGACCAGGAGCTTCATTTCTTCTTTGGTGACATCGAGGATTCTCGCTGCAATCCACAGCTTGTAGAATGTGTAAAGTCCCTCGCATTTGCACACCATCATACGAATATATTCGTCACGCTCCTCAACCGATCGGAAGGCTCTTGTCCGAACATTCTCCGACTGAGAAATCTTCGTTGTTGTTGATGGCAATAGTATACCTTCCTGATCGTGCTCAGTGATGGTGGGGTACCTCTTGAAATCATTGTGGTAAGGGCAGCCCTCTCTCCCCTCGAGCTTGGCATTCATCGTTCTCTCCTCACCACCCTCGAACATCCCCCACATCTTGGACATCTGGAGTGCGATAAATCCTGCCATGTACCGAGCCTCACGCGGCTCGTCAAGGCAGATCGCCATCCGTTGGGAACTTATAATGTCCCGTGACGCCAGATCGGTGTCGCGGTAATGCCAACCGCTGTCTACTTCTTCTGACGCATAGCCGGATGTATATCCTTGCGTGTCCATGTCGTCATCTTCTCCCGGAACTTCCTCCGCTTCGTCTTCATCCTCCTGTGCTGCCGCATCGTGGTTAGCTTCTTCCTGTGCACGCCTGGCATCTCCAGAGACGTTGGGGTTTTGGTTGTCCTCCTCATCATCGGATTTGATGTGAATGTAGTATCTTCCGATGGAGATCAGTTGTGCCTCGCACTCCAGGCATAAGCAGAAGCAGGTGGGGATCGCGGTCGCACATGATGGACATATCCGGCACCTCAGTCCTTCCCATGTCTCATCATTCAGGATGACGACTTTGCTGATTTCGTCCCTGACCTCGTTGACCTGCGCGTTGAACTCCTCCATCTTGTTGTTCCGATAGAGTTCGCATGCACGATCAACCATGTCTATGATGTAGTGCAGATTATCGGCACCTGTCTCGGTCTCGGGCATCCTCTCGCTGATCTTTGTGACGTTCTGGAGGAACATCGCAGCCGACTCTTGGCCGTTGACGAAGCCACAGAGTTCTCCACAACACGAGTACGCCTCTTGGCCAGGCCCCTCCGTTGCTTTTGCCAAAAATGGCTTGACCGGGATCACTCAAAGCCAGTCCCATTCTGAAGCACAGAAGCGCCTCCAACCGAAGTGCAGTCGCCTGGGATCGAGCCGGGGACTAACCCACAGCGTACGTTGGCAGGTTTTCCACATACGTCTCATGGAATGCTCCTCCGAGAGAATCACCCATTCTTGCGGAATACCTATTCGCCAGTGCGGATGAGCTCATGAATCCAAAATCACTGTGACCGGTTGTGACTCGGATGCACCAAGGTCTGTACCATCCATCGCATCTGTTGAACATCCTGTCGATGTCATCCCGATCCACGCCAGCCTTGGTCATTTCCTCCCTGGCTGCCCTCGTGTCGTTCGGGTTCATGATGCTCGGAAACCTTGCTGCCAGAACCTGGAATCTCGATTTCTTGCTTCCGGATTCCTGCCACTTGATCACCTCCATGATGCCCATGTATCGTTTCGCTCTCGAGGTGTTAGGTGGGAATATGTCGTTGTTTCGGTCGTCAATGACTGCATCAATGTCGACCCAACCACCTTCGTCGCACCTGAAAGCACTTCCTCGGCAATTGCCGATTTTGTGTCGAAGGACTCTGCATAGGTCGTGAGATAGCTGGTTTGCTTGGTCCCTTGTAGCAAATACCGAGCGATCATCACTAATCCTGCATAGTGGAGCACCGTCGAAAGGAGCAACGCAAAAATTGACACTCTTGCCAAGCTGCATCACATCCACCTGCTCAAGGATGGCACCTATGGGAAAGTACCTGGGGTCAACAATAGACGCGTATGCCCGTGGCAAATGCACATCACTCACGTCGCCGTACTTCGGGATGTAGCACGGGATGGTGTCGCATCCCATCTCAAGCGTCTTCTTGAACGTCCTGTTGTCCCCGCACGGGTTGTAGGTGAGGTCCACGCCACCACATTGTAGCTCTCCTCCCTCTGCCGTGTCAGCCATCTCCACCAAGTTGATGGTATAGCTATACATCTCAATTGTTTCTTTCCCTGCTTGTCCTCCTCTCTTTCTTTCTTTGGACGTTGATGAGACCGGTTCCTCCGCATCCCCCATATCTTCATCCGATGACACGGGATCACTGCTGAGTAGCTTACGGAGCATCTTCATCGCTTTCTCGTTGCCAGCAGCCTCCTCAATGTCATTGCAGTCGCCGTCGTGGGCCAGGTTCGCGCACTTCTTGCAGATTCCCATTTCTCCCATGCACTTCTCCATTGACTCCAGGAATCCTAGTGCCGCTCTCCGCCCATCGATCACTCGCTGCTTCTTCTCTTCCTTCTCAGCGTTGGGCTGAGAGCTTCGGCTCGGGTCTGGTGCTTGACCAAGACCGTCACCTTCGCCCTCCGTTGCCTTTCTCTTGGACCCTTGGGCAGCAGGCTCAGTTATCAGGGATCGCGGATGTCTGGGCTTGATCTTGTTCATGATGTCCAGCACTTCTTTCGTGGGCACCCCGAGTTGTGCGGAAGGTTTGTTCCGCTTTCGGTTCTGGCCCGTCGTGTGGGTCACGTTCCCGGCGAGGTGTCGTACGATTGACTGCTCGAACTCCCTCTTGATCTTCCATACATCCTTCCACAGCGGTAGTTCGTGCTGGAAGTACGACATCACCTCAAAGAACCCCAATACCATCTCGACGACGTCTCCCAATTCCTCGTTTGTAGTTTGTCCCAGGAGTTCATACATCGTCCCTTGGTCGAGCACGCTCTTGATCCAGGAGGAATAGGCCACGTTGCCGAGATCCTTGTCTATCATGAAGATGGACATTCTCTCCTCGACTCCCTCGGAATTCTTGCACACGATCGCATCCCGGGATGCACACAATTGCTTCCCGTGACCGTTGTTGTAGAACTGCGCTGCTTGATCCACTGTCATGCTCACGAAGCCCACGTGGGAAAGCTCCTTCTTCAGTTTAGAATACGCGAGCTCCCGTATAATCGTGATCATGGCCTGGGTGTTGTTGACGTCCACCATGAGGTTTTGGAGGTCAGTGATTGCTACCACGCATTCCGCGAAGAGGCGCGTGTACAGCTTCTTCCCTTCGATAGACCTCGCAATACCGTTCGTGTCCGCATTCCAGTTCGCGCAACAGTTCACGCAAGAAGTGGGATTGAACTTCGAGTTCGGTCCGAGCACCTTCGACTTGCTCACCTGCATCTCTCTAGCGCAAAGTTCACAGATGAACTTGCTGAGCTCCGTGACCAAATACCATCGAAGACGTTGATCACCGACATCGGCTTTCCCAAACGCATCCTGTTCGCCGTGCCCTTCATCTTGCTGTTCTTGTTTTCTCTTTGACTGCGCAGTGAAGGTCGGCTTGTACTCAAACTTCACCTTCGACTCCTCCATATTCTTCGGTATGTTGAATCGAAGGTCGGGCTCGTTAATGCACGTCTCCTCCAGCTCACGCACAAACGCGTTGCTTGGTGCGACTACATCGATGGATTTCTCCACCAGCAACCGTTTCAGGAGGAAATGTTGCAGGTTCGAGCTCCCAGGGATCTTGTAGTTCTTTCCTGTGAGCGCATGGACCACGCGCCACAGGCGATCGTTCTCAGTCACCAGCGCGCCTGCCGCCTTGCAGATCTCGCTGACCTTGTTGGCGATCGTCCCCAAGTCCCCTCTCCCTCCATGGAAAGCAACATCACGATTCACGCACATCACGACCAGGCCCTTGCACGTGCTGACGAGGTCAGATACCGCCTTTTGCAGGGAGTCGATGATGGGATTGGCGGTCACCTGCCACCCACATCCTCTCATGCACACCCAATCATATAGCGACATCCAAATGTGCACCGACATTGGTGAGTCATCCATGTCTCGCTCCGTCGTTCGATGATGAGCTTATCCAGTTTCTGTAATCGGGAGATAATACTCATTGTGTCATTGGGCGAGGAGACTTGCTCACTCGACCCATAGTATGATCTCTCTTCGATATTTGTCCACCCCTGTTCGTTGACCATCATTTGGAAGGTCTTCGTGCTTTCGAGTTGACGGCCCTCAGGGGCCAGTCCAGGACCAAGAAGCTCTTCTTCTGGATCATCATATCGCGAATCGTTGCCAAAGCAAGCCCAAGGTACTGCAGACTCTGTCGCAAGCCGCCATTGCCTCGTGAATGTGCAATCGGCCCTCGAAGGAAGTGGAAACTGCCAACTTGGGGAGAGGCAAATTGAAGCCTTCTTGGACGATTCAAAGCGCTTTTGGCAAGAAACGGACAAGCTCAGTCCGCGAATGGGGCGAGGCTGCTCAGAGCGATTGCCGTCATTCCCCTCATCATTTGCGTCCCCGGTCATATACGTAGATGTGCGGTCAGAAGACGGGAAGTGGCAGCTGAAAAGGCACTGTGGGACCCGTTGCCTGGCCAGTTGCTGGTCAGCCGCTGCCCACAAATCGCGCGACGAGCAAAACGCAAGCCAAGGTACTATGGACTCTGTCGCAAGCAGCAATTGTCCTTGTGAATGCTGTGATTGGCCCCTCAATGGAACTAGAAACTGCCAACTTGGTGAGGGGCAAAATGAAGACCTCTTGGCCGTTGCACAGCACTTTCGGCCAGAAAAGGACCGGCTCAGCCAGTCTGAAGCACAGAAGCGCCTCCAACCGAAGTACTCAGTCGCCTCGGGATCGGAAGACACGGCGTGAGGCTGCTCAGTGCACTTGGCATCACTCCCCTCATCTTTTGCAGCCCCGGTCCGTAATGTACACACCAGGTAGATGTGCGGTCAGAAGACAGAAAAAGCCAGCTGAAAAGACACAGCGGGACCCGATGCCAGCACAGTTGCTGGTCAGCCGATGCCCACCAATCACACAAGGACTCTGTCGCAATTAAGCCGCGATTGCCCCTGTCAATGCTGCGGTCGGCCCCTCAAAGAAGGCGGAAACTGCCAACTTTGGCAAGAGGCAACATGTAGTCTTCGCGGCAATTGCAAAGCGCTTTCGGTCAGAAAAGGACCAGCTGCAAAAACTGGGGCAAGGCTGCTCAGTGCACGTGTCCTAACTCCCCTCATCTGTGTACACAGTGCCCAGTTGCTTGTCAGCCGCTGCCAAGAAATTCGCACACGAAGCCAAAAAACATAAGCGATGGTACTGCGGCTTCGGCCACAACAGTTGCCGCTTCTCCAAATTCTGGCGCCAGCTGAGCAAGCTAGGTTGCAGTCTGCCTGGTTGTCTCTCAGTTGCGCTGGGGGGATTGGCGGGCTACCTGCGAGCAAATCTTCAATATCGAAGCAACGCCGTGTCTCGCATCATCCACGAAAACAGTGCGAGTTGAAATATCGGTTACACGCACAGTGTGTCACCATATATAGTACCCATTTTGTGAAGCGCTTCGAAATGGTTGTTCTCTAACTTCCAGCCCAACAGGACCCTCTAAACTCCCCGTTTTCACAGCCGCAGGCACTTTGAACTGACCAGTGTGGACCCATGAGAGAGCGCCATCTCGCCACTTGACAAGGTCAGTGTCTGACATAGCCAAGATCACACTTTGATGAAAACGACTCGGATGACGCTGACTCGACGCAGTTGGACAAAGGCTTATGGACGCTGGTGTCAAACTGTTCCAGAACCTCTGCGTCCACAGCCCCCTTGTACGTTGCCCGGCACATTGTTCTGGTGATGCAGCAGTTTCTTAGGACAAGGACTTAGGGAAGTAGCCAGACTTTCGAATAATCCTGTGTCTCATGCGTGGGCAACTGGATACGCCTTCCCCGGAGAGGGAGAGTCAGTCTTTGACATGCACGCTCGAGGACTGCTCCCTGAGACCTGTGACTGGAATTCGACTCCCTCGCAGACATGTCAAAGGCGCACCTCGGCATGCCGTTGACAAAAAGAGCATCCCTGCATCTGCGCACCCTCTGCGGCTTAGCCGGAGCCAGGGTGAACGCATACGTAAGGTTGGGCAGAACCCGAATGGTATGGACATGAGCCCCGCAATTGCGCCAGACCGCTTGCATCGTGGATGTCAAGTGCCCTCGAATGCAGCCCTGTTCCAGTGAAGGACCATCAAGGCAAAGCAAAACCGGCAGCGCAAGAGTGTCCCGTGTGGTCAAGTGCAACAAAGCCAAAGCCATATCTGGTCTCGGAGCAAAGCGCCACACGTTCGTAGGATATCCCCTTTCTTCTTAGACGCTTCTTCGTGGCAAGAACCCTGCGAAGACTATGGAAAGGCTTCTGCGAAGGCCAATACCGCTTGTAAAAAGGGGCTAAGGCTTTCTGAAAGGCCTAGTAACTGTTGAACCGGGGCCATGTTTTGACAATATGGAGCGGGCTTGAAACTCAGAGAATGTGTTGCCAGGTCAGCACCCCACCCAGCTGCAGTCGCTTTCGCCCTCGGCACTCACTCGCCCGCCAGTTAAACCTTAGGTGCGGGCGTCGTGCATGCCTGTCTCAGCCCTCCCTGTTCCGCAGCGATGGCATGGCAACGTATGCAAACGCTGAAATGGGCCAAGCTTGAGATCTGCGCTTCAGCAGCAAGGGTAGCATAGCTGGGGCTGATATTGAGGTAACGCAAAGCTGGTTTGGCTCAAGACCAAGCTGCTGATGTTCCCAGGAGCGCGCCTGTGCATGCAAGTTCCCGCAAGGGTTCAGCATGAACATAGCAGCTGGATCAGGAAATGCTGCCCCTACAAGCACGACAAAGGCACATTGCACAAGTCCTGAATCAACATCAGCGGCTGCGATGAGACTCAATTCAAGCGCGTGCAGCATGCCGAGGCATGAAGAAAACAGACTGTCGACTGCAGCTCACTTCCGCAGCGAGAAAGCACGCTAAGCAGAGCCGACCATGGCGGGCTCTCCGCGCCACTGGCATGACACAAGACCATGCGCAGGGACCAAGCCGCTTGCGCAGTGAAGCCAACTGCAGCCCAGAATAGCACTCTCATGCTGCCAATGTCGTTTGGTTGCAACTGGCGCCACGGGCAGGCGCAAGACTAAGAGGCCACTGGCAACATGTGAGCCACGGTCAAAGCTACTTGTGTCCCAAGGACACGGGACAATCAGTGAGTCCCCTGTTTGCGGCAAATGTCCTGAGTCCCCCCTCCCTCCCAAATATCAAATGAACCATACACTGCTGGTAGTTTCGACGTTAACTTTAGAGAGTTCTTGTGGCGTGATCTCACTCGACGCTCAATTATTGCAGCTCTCAACCGTCTTTTGGCTTGGATGTGCCGTTGCCTCGTGTGAAATGCTTTATGGAATTTTCACAATCGCCTCTGAATAACATGTTTGCAGAGTGTCATGAGGCTTTGTTCGCTCGTTTGCCCAAAGCGCTCAAGGTATTTCTGCAAGACATCGGCCGTCGGTGTGCGCAAAACACCAAATTGGACTGGTCTACCCACTTGTCGTTCTCTTGCAGAATTTGCAAAATCACCAAAGCAATTGCGCAGCTAGCACATTTTGTCAGCAGAATCCCTGAGCACAGGTTCGTGTGAAGATTCAGCTGGAGTATCCCCTTCTGCGTTCCTTTGAGATGCCTCCACGAAAAGCACATGAACGAAAGAACCCAATGGCACGTTCAGCTGCCGTTTCGTGCTGCCGACTGAACAGGAAGGTCGACCTGGTGCCAAAGACATTTCCAAGGCTTACCGTGTATCGTCACCACGCCCTTGAATGCAGCATTGGTTATCCTGACTGAGTCCAAAGACCAATGCTCCGGATTCACATTCAGCTCAATGGCTTGTCCAACTCACTCATCTGCAAACCTCGCCCTTCCTCCTGAACGTGGCAACTCAACCGCAATCTTGCTTCCGTGATCCGGCAAACCAAGAGCGTATTAATTGCACCCATGGAACAAAAGTGCAGATCTTCAAGTGGAGCCATTGCTACGCGCAAGCCAAGTAAACCCTGTGTGTTTTCAAGCAGCACACACATGACATGCATCCAATTGTGGAAGCAACATCAACATCATTGCAACTCGTGTTTCACCCAGATTGAGTTTGATTATTTCCCTTCAGCAGGTTGATTTTGACATTGAGCTTGCAATTCGAGCAACTCGCCTGCGCCAAACCATCGTGTTCCCCATGGTTGCTTGGGGGGGTTGAAAAAACTTAATCTAAGTTTGTTTGACTTGACCAACCTGAAGTAACGGGTAACTAACCTTAACGTACACCCTAACTGTTTCAGACTTGAACCAGCTGCGACCAGTAGAAATGCCAGTGCGAGGGTCGTGACATGGCATGAATCGGATGAAGTGAAACCGCACCTTTTCTGTCAAGAGACGGCAAGGTGACGTCCCGTGGGACGCTATGCACCGAACCCTCAAGCTGTAATACCAACCACGTAGAAAGGTGTATACGGACGATGCCGTTATAGCCGAACCCGTGTAAACGTTGTAAGGGAGAAGGAATGATAGTTGCAACAGTGGTCCTGACGAATGCAGCGCAAGCAAAGAGTTTTCGCTCTCAATGCCGATCACGTATGTATGCAGTCACACATCAGATCTTGAACCTCAATTGTGTCTTGAGCCAGATGGCGATCAATGGAACTTGGGAAGCAACACCAACAAGGACCTCAGAACAGCTACCCAATTTCGGCACGGGGCCTAGAGGGTTTTAACATCCCCCATTTGGGTCGCATTGTTCATCATGCGGTCCAAACACCACAAAACGTTCCACTGGCCACGGCTTCAACTACGAAATCGTGTCGTGCATTCTTTTACTTGCTATCACTACACCGTTCATTCGCTGTGAAACATGCCGGGTTCGATTGTACGAAAAGTGAAACATTCATCCTCCAATCGAAGCACACATCCATATGCAGGTGTATATAATACACAATCGTCACGTCATTTGACCACCAACGAACAATCCAGCTGCCGCATTTGCGCATCGCGCAGCTGTCATCCATAAATGGGTTGGCCACAAAAGTCCATCAGAGGCGCCTGCTCGTGATCGGTCTGCATATTTCCGGCAAAGAAACATCGGTGAGTAATCAATGCAAATCATAGCCATTCCAGATACCATGGACAATGCATAAATAATGAAAAGGAAATCATCCATGAGGTAATAGTTCCATCCACGAATATCCGGAATGTCATAGTCGTCGGAATATGTAACCATGTACACATCCATTCAACTTGGATACATGAAATCATATCATAATGTAAAGTCGTTCCATCGCAATGGTGTTGATGAGACGCAAGCAACAGATGGGGACTAACCCACATCGTGCTGCAATCAGCATCTTCACTACGCATACCGGTCCCCAATGGACAGTCTGTGAGTGCGTCGACGGAACTCCTCGTCCAAGTTCTTCTGGGCTTCTCGTGCCCGGACACACTTCTTGTTGTAGTCCTCTGGCAACCAGTGCCCTTTCCGAAGGCACCAATCCAGCAGGGGTGTGTCGCATTTGTTCGGGTCGATGGCCGAGATGATGGCGCTCACGTTGACCGCGTAACCATCTTGCCAAGGTTTAGGCCATCCCTCACGAATGATATATACTTACAGTTGAAAGCTAGTGCAAACATCTGAAAATAATATCACCCACCGGGTGCACTCGGTCCTTGACCAGGAGCTTCATTTCTTCCTTGGTGACATCGAGGATTCTCGCTGCAATCCACAGCTTGTAGAATGTGTAAAGTCCCTCGCATTTGCACACCATCATACGAATATATTCGTCACGCTCCTCAACCGATCGGAAGGCTCTTGTCCGAACATTCTCCGATTGAGAAATCTTCGTTATTGTTGATGGCAAAAGTATACCTTCCTGATCATGCTCAGTCATGTTGGGGTATCTCTTGAAGTCATTGTGGTAAGGGCAGCCCGGTCTCCCCTCGAGTTGGGCATTCATCGTTCTCTCCTCACCACCCTCGAACATCCCCCACATCTTGGACATCTGGAGTGCGATAAACCCTGCCATGTACTGAGCCTCGCGCGGCTCGTCAAGGCAGATCGCCATCCGCTGGGAATTTATGATATCCCGTGACGTCAGATCAGTGTCGCGGTAATACCAACCGCTGTCATCCTCTTCTGACGCATATCCGGATG